GGGGGGCATAACATCGGCCCAACGCCCCATATCCTCATAATGGAGCGGGGGTCTTTCATCAGAATGAAGAATAAATAATTTTTTTTCAGGTTAGTTCAGAAACGTCCATGTTTGTAAAATTTGTCTAAATGGACAGTTATCTGAGTTACTTCATTAGTTATGTGCTGTTGGTTAACAGTTATCACCAAATTTAATACAGCTTAAAACAACAAACATGTATTATCTTGGTTTCTTTGAGTCAAGAATTAGGGCAACATTCAACAGAGTAAGTCGTTTGGGTTGTTTCTTTTGTTTGTTTTGTTGTTGTTGTTTGTTTGTTTGTTTGTTTTGAGATAGGCTCCAAAGCTACACGGAGAAACCCTGTCTCAAAAAAGCAAAAAAAAAAAAGACAGGGTTTCTCTGTGTAATTTTGGTGCCTGTCCTGGATCTCACTCTGTAGTCCAGGCTGGCCTCGAACTCACAGAAATTCACCTGGCTCTGCCTCCCAAGTGTTGGGATTAAAGGTGTGTGGCACCACCACCCAGCTCAGGTTGTTTCTTGAGGTATCAGTTAAGCTGTAGTTGGGAGTTGTGGCATTATTGAAAGGCTCCCCTGAGATGAAGGAAGGATCTACTTCTAAGTGCTTGCACCTGGTTGCTGGTTGGCCTAGATTCTCTGCCAAATGGATTTCTTTACAGAATGGCAGTTGATTTCCCCTACCACAGGCAATCCAGGAAAGAGCATCCAAACTGAAGGAAGGTACTTGTATTTTATAGCCTAACATTAGAAGTGATACCCCATCAACCACTGCCATATTGTATTTGTTAGGAGACTTAAATCCAACCCACATTAGAGAGGCAGAGTATAACACAGTCCTCCACGTGCGGAAGGCAAGGCCTCTGGAAGCCATTTTAGAGGCACCTGATACAGATACTGTGGCTGATAACTTTTAGCAATTAAAGTAATTAATAAATAAGAATAATTGAGTAAAAATATGTCCAAAAGGAAGTCCGACAAGGGGGAAAAGCCCGATTTTGAAGTAAACCTGTACTAGCATCAGCCCTTCCTGAAAACTAGTTTTTAAATCTACTTTATATTAATTATACTAAATAATATTATTTAATATTGCCTGAAGAATAGAGTGTCTGAAAGGAATGTTTGTGTATCACAACTGGAGATTGTGTATTTCTTACCTGTTGCTGTTTTATATAGTTGAAATTGAGTCAAAGTGGACATGTGAAAGATAGCTTTTTGAAAAGGAAAGCAGGTAGTTTTCAGGCTAGAGGCGGGAAGGATAAAATGCAGGTCAGTGGCAAATTTGTGTTAGCCCTATGTGATCAAATAGGGGTGGAAGAAGTGTGCTTTGGAAATGTCATTGACTTTTGAAAAAGCATTAAATGTCATTTGTGAGTGGCAGTGGGTAGCAGAATAAGCTATACCCCATGTTGCTACTTCTATCAGCCCAAAGAGTGCTTTTTAGAGAACTCTACTCAAGTGAAGCCAAAATATTTTTAACTATACTGAAAAAAAAAAGCCCAAAACAACAACAAAAACAACCTCAGGATGAGACCGTATGAAGCAAGGTTTATTAAGAAAAAATGAATATAGATTTAGTAGCAGCATTGAAAGAGGGAGAGGAATTTAAGAAAAAGAGGATACCCAGCCAAGTATGGCCTTGGGCTTTTGAAGATAGAATTGTATTCAAGTGTCTTAACAATAGCAAGACATAAAATTTTGATGGCCTTTAAGTTATATTATATGAGGGTTTTACAAAAGTAAATAAAACTGTTTTGGGTATACTTATTTTTATCTAGGTAGCATTTCCTTTAATACATAAGATTCGTTGGTCTATGGTGTTATTGTATAGCTTTGAATGTGACCAGATAAAAACATAGGTTTAAAAAAAGTCAAAGTAACTCCACTATCCATGGGTCACAAGAAAGTCAAAAAATGGTTTGATTGTAAACATGATTCCTAATCGTGTCAGATTCTCCTTGGTTCTCAGCAAGTACAATTTGGGGCTCCCTTCCCTTCCTGTGCTCACTTAGTTGTCCTGCATAGCAGGCCCTGCCTTCTGTCCACACACTTCTCTGCACTTCCCCACCACAGCTTTCACTGGAAACCATAAAAGCTTATGGGGAGCAAAAGGTTCTGGCTTTGTTAGGACACTGTTTGGGCTATGACCCAATATAAAATCGCCTATGCTTCTTCCCAGGTTTGAAAGATACTATAAATCCTTATTTATTTGTAAACTATTATCCAAATTCATAGACATAAACCAAATATATGCAGTTCAAGTTTGGGCAACAAGTTTAAGAAGCTTAATTCTAGAGTTAGCCATTTACATATTCTTCAAGAATAAAGTGCATAGGATTGTTTAAACATTTGAATGAAGTAACAAGATTTAACAAGTAAACCAAACTTAGCCTTTATCTGCCTCTACTACTTGCTCTTTATAGATGCAATGGGGGTGGAGAAACAAGAGGTGGGAAGCATGGATGATAAATATACACCACCAACTCCATCTTGTCATGTTACTCAGTTTTAGGTATTATTCCGCTTTCCTTTGTTTTTATGCAATTGTAGAATTGTTTTTCTAGTTTTCAATTGCAGTAAAATAATGTACACAAAATAAAATTAATAATCTTATCCAGTTTAAAATATACAGACCAGTGGTATTAAATATATTCATAGTGGCATGT